GTGGTACCGAGGAGGATCGTAGTATAAAGTATCGACACTAGTTATCAAAGCACTTTCACAGTATGTACTCGCTCATCGTGGTACGATACGTAGAAGTGTTAACATCAAGGAGAAAATAGAAAGCACTAGAAAGTATTCACAGAGTACATTGTCGAGCACGCTAGGGATACATCATCGTATAACGAACTTTTCTTTCAAATCGGCCAAAATTTTGTTCAGTAAAGAGTCCGTTGCTATCATTCGTTATGAATTGGAGTGGTCCTCACCATACTAAGTTCATATGTTTCCATCGCCTTGACAGTCAAATTCACGAAACCTTCGTCATTCGTAACGACAGTCCGACCCAGACTTTAGAATCGTCTACCTCGTATTCTAAACCCCGAAGTACTCATGCGAAGAATACTTTGCCCTCCGAAGCCTTGCCGCCGTATGTTCAGCAGACCTTCCCGAAATATCACTCGTTCAGCAGATCAAGTTCAAGCACATAGGCTAAGGACGAATACAACCCACCTATCACTATTTAGTGTATATGCGAGGGTGGTATATCATTATGATTATGCAGATTTAGTATGTGTGTTTCCGCCCTATCTCATGTTCCTTGTTTGGTTGTGGACCTGGGGCAGAGTCGCACATCCGGCCGTCTTACTAATCTTAATTATATACGACTTATATACACGATGTAATGATAGATGGACCTAGTATGAATCCTATCATGGACATTAGGGCAAAGTTGCCCAAGTCTACGAGTGGGTATTCTGCAAATCAAAGGAGCACAACCCCAGTAGTACTGCTAAGAAAGCTAATTTCGGGACGAAATTCCATCTAACGGGGGATGATGTGACAACCCGAAATTTTTTGCCTTGTAAGCCCAACCATTCAATTCAACCGTGTGTCAGACTCGTTTCTGCTATCTTTTAGCATTGTTTAGAGTCTGTTTAAGGGTTCAAAGCTCAGTACATTCAAGCATTGGGTATAGGATTGAGTTGCTAAAGTTCTTCACGTTGAAATCGAGCCTAACACTCCATCAAAGGGAGTGTACGGTCGTACACATGGGTGTACCGCCGTACACCCATGTTGATCGTACATCCACCCCCATATGTAGAGGATCCCTTCATTTCTAGCCATTTCTTCAACTTCCAAGTCTAAAAATCGGATTTCTCTTTCAACTATCATCAAGTTCTTCATCCTAATCCTCCAAAATCGTAAGTGATTCTTCCATCCTTCTTAATATCTTCCATAGTGTTGTAAACACCTCTTGATTCATCCATGAAAACATCTTTTTATGTTAGATCTTCATCTTTCACCAAGAACACACACTTGTTCTTGGTGGCCGTGAACCCCCTTCCAGCCTCCAAAACGTAAGTATCCTTTCCCCATGCTTAGTATACGTTAGATACTCTTGTTTAACACCTTAGAATCGACCATTTAGCTGGAAAAAAGGAGTGTACGGCCGTACACCCTTGCATGGCCGTACACCCCTCAAAACTCTCCAAAAGGGCTTCCCAAATGAGAACCTAGTTCATAGGCTTGATGAGCAATAGACCCACAAGCCTCCCCATGGTTCAAACGCCCTCTTGTGCATGTTTTACCATGAGTGTACGGCCGTACACTCCATGGCCGTACACCCATGGCCGTACACTCCATGTTCTAGCCTTAAACCCACTTTAGTGAATCACATATGATTCTAACACTTAGTCCAAGTGTTTCGTAGTCCCTAAGGGTGTTTCCTTGCATGTTAGTTACTTTTAAACACTAAATTCATGCCATTATATGTCATTTAGGACTCGTTTGTGTCTCGGGACTTCATTCATGGAACTCCTCATCCTTACACGAATCTGCAATTGAATCACCCACATAAGGTGAGTTCATACCCCTATAATCAATCTTTTAACTGTTTTAAATGCTTTTAAGGGGGGGGGGGGATACAAGTTGAACACAATGATAATTGTGTAAATGTTTTGCTGTAAACATCATTTTAATAGATTGCTTATGTATTTATAAGTGATCAAAACATTTCAAAACTCTTTTTAAGTTATGTTACTTTATAGTTTATAAAACTCCGTTTTTAAAGTACAATCATAACTTAATAGATGAATGAGTCTCTTCTTCAAGTTAGTATCGGTTCAAGTAAACATACTAATAAACTATAATAGGTATAGTTTAGGGGTTCAGTTTACACTAGAACAGAGAGAACATACTATAAAGAGAAACATGGAGGTAGATACAATACACGATAACATAGAGAACATACTATAAAGAGAAACAGGGAGGTAGATACAATACACGATAACATAGAGAACATACTATAAAGAGAAACAAGGAGGAAGATACAATACACGATAACAGAAAGAACATACTATATACTATAACAAAAGAACAAATCATGATTAACTAAATTATACCAATGATCATTAACTCATTGTTCTAAACAAAAAGGTGATAATAAAATTGGTATACAAGATCAAGATAACTTTAATGTGAGACTATTTCACGGCTTAGCAATTCGTTTGCTGAAGTTGCGTTTTGTAACCAGAATCTCTTGCAGGGAGAGCGTATAGTATGGGTACAACCACATCACATTATGACCTTAATAAAACAAACTAGTTTTAAGGTAGTCAGTACTTCAGTATGTCAATTTAAAAGACAATTGTGTACTTACATTTTTCCCATTACTTTTATATTGTGACATTTCCACTTTAAAGTTAATACAAACTATTTTCGAGCTAAGATAGTTATAAACTAGAGAAAACTTACATCATTACAAGCGACAAACAGAACAGTCGAGTCTAGTACATTCAGTAGGAAGGGGCCTATAATGCTAACTTTATGATTCCTTAGTTTATACATCAGAGATATATGTTAATCGGATCCGACAGGTAGTAGGGTGTGTGCTTTCCACTTTATTTCCTGTTCCTTGTTTGGTTGTGGGCTTAGAGCAGATTCACCCAGCCTACTATCTATCCGATCTTAGCTATATATATTCTGTATACACCAAGTAATCATAAGGAATACCAGGTATGGGCCAGGTCATAGTATACTAATTCAATGCACCGTTTTCTAGTACAAAACATACTTTTCAAATAGAACATTTGGTAGACAAAACTAGAAACTTACCAGTAAAAGGTTTAATCCATTTTATTAAACCAGTATAACTTAAAGGACATTAGGTGGTTAATTCTATAATACCTTAGTTTATACATTAGAGTTATATATAATTAATATCCGATAGGTAGTTGGATGTGTGTTTTCTGCTTTACTTCCTGTTCCTTGTTTGGTTGTGGGCTTAGGGCAGATTCACACAACTAACTATGTGTTCGATATTAGATTATATATAGCTAGTATAAACTAAGTGATTATAGAAGGAACTATTGTGGTTACCATTTTTACTAAAAGAAATAAGGGTTTTCTTAAAGAATCTTTTCATCAAATATAAAGGAACTATTACAGTTAACTCCGTGAGTACCAAGTGAATACGCCAGGGTTATATACAACGATGATCTAACAAACAATAGGATGTGTGCCTTCCGCCTCATTTCCTGTTCCTCGTTTGGTTGTGGGCTTAGAGCAGATACACACAATCGATTGTTTGTTTGCTCTGGATTTTATATAACTTGTATCCATTTAGTACTCATAGAAAGGATTGTAGAGTCATTTTTACTTATCTTTCATCAAAGCAGGAAATATAGGATTTTCTGGAGGAACAGGCGAACTTTTCTAAAAAGAACTTACAACTTAGTTACATCACTAAAATCTTATGAACTCACCAGCTTAAATGCTGATCTACTCTTTCAAAATAACTTGTATTATCAGGAGACCAGTAGACAGGTACGCGCACTGGGATTCAGAAGATGGAGCATAATAGCTTCATGTCTTGTTTTGTTATTTACTTTGTAGTCTATGTTATGTGAACCACATACTTTGTAAACACTTTCTTTCTAATGAAATGGTTGTTTGTTACTTTGATTACTATGATGCATGTCTTGTGATACTAAACATGACGTCCTCCGCCCCCGAACGTTTCCGCCGTTCCGGTTTTGGGGTGTGACACCTTTCTTAGACAATGCTGAATCGATGACCTATGTATTGTGTATAAAGTAACAAAAACTTCTTGGATTAAAAAAAAGTAAACAACTTTGTTGACAATTATATACTTTTTGTTTGGTTAGAAGAGTCCTCTGAATATTTTGGTCTTGGATTAGTGCTTCCTTTTGATATTTTGATTTCATTTTGGAATATGACAAGAGAATAGAGGATAGGCTCGTTACATTAACAATAAAGATATGAGAATTTACATTGAGCGTGAGAGCCAAATGAATCGAAAGATTGATGTTTGGTTCGGGAAGGGATCATGGAATTTTTTAAATGAATGGAAAGATAATCTAATTTCATTAAGTGGTTTATTAGATAATCGAAAACATAGAATCTTGAATACTATTAGAAATTCAGAAGAATTGCGCGAGGGGGCCATCAAACAGCTGGAAAAAGCCCGGGCTCACTTACAGAAAGTAGAAATAGAAGCAAATCAGTTTCGCGTGAATGGATACTCTGAGATAGAGCGAGAAAATTTGAATTTGATTGATTCAACTTATAATACTTTGGAACTACTAGAAAATTACAAAAATGAAACTATAACTTTTGAACAAAAAAAAGCGAGTAATCAAGCCCAACAAGGGGTTTTCCAACAAGCCTTACAAGGAACTCTGGGAACTCTGAATAGTTGTTTAAATAGCGAGTTACATTTATGTACTATCAGTGCCAATATTGGCATTTTGGGGGCGATGAAAGAAATAACGGATTAGTCCTTCTACTTTATGAATTATTTTTGATTTTTTCCATAAAAGAATTAAGAAATACTCTTGGTAACCATTCAAGCCGACGGAATTAGTAATATTATCTGTGAGCGTATTGAACAATATAATAGAGAAGTAAAGATTGTAAATAACGGTACCGTACTTCAAGTAGGTGATGACATTGGTCGTATTCATGGTCTTGATGAAGTAATGGAGAGTGAATTAGTAGAATTTGAAGAGGGTACAATAGGCATTGCTCTTAATTTGGAATCAACTAATGTTGGTGTTGTATTAATGGGTGATGGTTTGTTGATACAAGAAGGGAGTTATGTAAAAGAAACAGGAAGAATTGCTCAGATACCAGTGAGTGAGGCTTATTTGGGTCGTGTTATAAACGCGCTGGCTAAACCTATTGATGGTAGATGTGAAATTTTAATTTCTGAATATAGGTTAATTGAATCGCACGCTCAGGTTAATTGAATCGCACGCTCCAGGGATTATTTCTCAACCATCTGTATATGAGCCTCCTCAAACAAGGCTTAGGGCCTGTTTGATATACTGGTGACCGGGTCGTAGTAAGTTCTTTTGGCTGGTCCAGTCCACCCTGTTTGATAAAGGGAAAATTATATCTGACCCGGTCCAATATATTGATTCGGTCAGGAGTCTGATTCGGTCCTTGATAAAAAAGAGTATGACCGGAAGATTTAATGCTTTATCCCATTTCTAACCCTTAGAAAAAAACACGCCTCCATTTTGCTCCATCCTTTTGCTCTGTCTCTCATCGCTCAAAGGGAAAATTGCCAAGCCTCTACCCTCCATCGTCCTCTTCTATCATCTTGCTCTGTATGCCCTCCATCATCGCCGGATTTCCAGCCTTTGCATCTTGATGGTAAGTTGCGTTCTTTTTTTATTTTTTATTTTTTACTTTTTTTTTGAAATTAGATGACAATGAAATCTGACAAGAAATCATATATGAAATTAGCATCTTGTTGTACTTGTATAATCTGAAATCGGGCATGAAATCAAGCTTTTTCTGTTTTTTTTTTTTCTGAAATTGGACATATATCCATGAACAAGTACTATCATGGAGGTCGAATATCAAGAGGGTTCCTTTCCTTTTTAGTTATTTCTCATATACATGCTTCTTGGTATGCTTCTTTTCCATTAACATCACATATTTTAGTAAAGGGTTTCATAAAGTTTGCATTATTCGAGATTCATGTAATTTGTATAAGATTTTGACTTCTTACCTATTGTGAAGTAAAAGACTAGTCCCACATAGAATACTCAAGAGTATTGATCTATTGATGAGTTAGATGAATTGTATAGATAATTTCAAACTCATTATTGTGAAAATATATTCCAATTGGTTAGTTGGATGCGTTGTACAGATAATTTCCAACTGAGTCATTGCATAACTTATGGCCAATTTTGATATTCATGTACTACGGGATCATTACTGCCTCTTTATGTCATATTTAGGCTATGTAATCCTCAGTAAAATCTGACACCATTTTGATTTTTGCATTCATGCATGTCATGCTTTAGAGTCGGATACATTGGAGGTACGAGTCGAGAGCATATGCTTATAGCTGCTGAAGCCTTGTATTCTAATGTTGAAAAGGGAGTATTGAAGGTTCATGTTAATCACAAGTATCCTCTGTCTCAAGCAACCCAATCTCACATTGCTCTTGAGAGTTGAAAACCAAGGGGTTCAGCTGTGTTGATCCCAGACAAGGAGTGATTCCCTTCATGTTTTTTGTTTTTGATTTATTTACTTTTTGTTATTTTTGTCCATGTAATTCTCTTGTGCATTAAAGTAAAGACTTTCTTAGAATGTGGTATGAATTATTGGTCCACTAAGGTTTTCAACCTTCTAATATATATTTTAGTGGTTTGAATACTTTATCATCATTATACTTTTACTTTTTCTAAATTACATATTTGCACAATTACATACATATTCTCATAGTATATATATATATATATATATATATATATATATATATATATATATATATATATGTGTGATAGAATAGTTGTGTTTTTGTTATTCTAAAATGGATGAAATTATGCTTTATGTACAGATCTGGGAAATTGTTGTGGTGAAATCATTCGATCCATTATAAAATTGCATGTGTATATCAAGCCAATAGTCCATACAAAAGTTATATATCTTTAATTTTTTTATATTTTACTCATGTTGAATTTATAGAAAAAATCTAATGGTATAAATTAAATGGTAAATCATAAAGGAATTACTATAAAAAATATTGTTTGAGGGTAATATAGTCATTTAGCACAGTCAGTCAGATGTAGAATCAAACAACAAGTTTCAGTCAGAAGTTAACTCAGTCAGAACTTCAAACCCAGTCAGCTTCTAACCCAGTCAGCTCTAACCCAGTTAGCAAATATCAAACGACCCCTTATTGTTATTGAGTCAATGATTCCGATAGGACATGGTCAGCGTTCATTAATTATTGGGGACAGCCAGACCGGTAAAACAACAGTAGCAATAGATACAATTCTAATTCAATAAGACAAAAATGTAATGTGTTTATGTAGATATTGGTCAAAAAGCATCTTCTGTGGCTCAGGTAGTGACTAATTTCCCATAAAGGGGCGCGATGGAATATACCATTGTGGAAACCAAAACGACGGATTCCACTGCTACATTACAATACCTCGCTCCTTATACAGGAGCAGCTCTGGCTGAATATTTTATATATCGTGAACGACTGACTTCAATCATTTATGATGATCCCTTTAAACAAGCCTAAACTTATCCCAAAATGTCTATTCTATTACGAAGACCGCCTGGGCGCGAAGCTTATCCGGGGGATGTTTTTTATTTACATTCACGCCTTTTGGAAAGAGCTACTAAATTAAGTTCTCTTTTAGGTGAATGAAGTATTACCGCTTTACCAATAGTGTAAGCCCGGTCGGGAGATGTTTCGGCTTATATTTCTATTAATGTCATTTGGATTACCGATGAACAAATATTCTTATCTGCTGATCTATTCAATGCTAGAATTTGACATGATATTAATGTGGGGAACTCTGTTTCCAGAATGGGTCTGCAACTCAAATTAAAGCTATGAAACAAGTAGCCGGTAAATTAAAATTGGAACCGGCACAATTCGCAGAATTAGAAGCTTTTTCACAATTTGCTTCTAATCTTGATAAAGCTACTCATAATCAATTGACAAGAGGTTAACGCTTACGTGAATTGCTTAAACAATCTCAATCTACCCCTTTCGGGGTAGAAGAATAGGTACCGACTATTTATACCGAAACAAATGGTTATCTCGATTCATTAGAAATTGGACAGGTAAGGAAATTTCTTGTTGAGTTACGTACTTACTTAAAAACCAATAAATCGCAGTTTCAAGAAATAATATCTTCTACCAAGACATTCATCGAGGAAGGCGAAACCATTTTGAAAGAAGCTATTAAGGAACAAAGGGAACAGTTTATACTTCAGGAACAAGCAGCCTAAAAAAATTTATCACCCTTCTCAATAATTTTTTAAATAAAATAAAAAGGGTACTCAAGCGTTTCAGAGTCAAATCATTCAAAATTTATTTTTTGATATCTAAATCTAAAAAAATATTTGGAAAAAAATTTCGTCCAATAGGATTTGAACCTATACCAAAGGTTTAGAAGACCTCTATCCTCTCCATTAGACAATGGATGCTTTTCATTGCGATTTTCGAGTAGTTTTACTTTCCGATCTTTTATTTGAAAAAATTCGAATCTAGTATAGTAGGATTTCTTTAAGAAAATTATTTGAATTGTATATTCAATGATGAGTAATGTATTAATTAGAGTCTATTAGAGTATTTAATAATATATAAATATAGTAAGATAATAGAATAAATCTATAAGAGAGGATATAGAGCGGGTAGCGGGATTCGAACCCGCATCGTTAGCTTGGAAGGCTAGGGGTTATCGTAGACGTCGATTCAACATTTTTAACGTCTCTAATTCAAAATCGAACATGAAACTTTGGTTTCATTCAACTCCTTTATGGAAAAGGGATAAATTGCTAGATTTCAGATGTGAACCAACTTACAAAAAAAAATGATACCCATAACATCTATGTCAGCTTTTTGTTTGAATATATTCAATTCAAAACAACTCACTTTATAGACGATCCCTCTAGAAGAAGGCAATTCTAACAATCTTTCTAGTTACTTCGTTCTTTATTTCTATTTGAGAGGGTCCTAAGGAAGATGATTTTATTCTTTATTTCTATTTGAGAGGGTCCTAAGGAAGATGATTTTATTTTTTATTTCTATTTGAGAGGGTCATAAGGAAGATGATTTTATTTCCACCTAGATAAAATAATATGTCAATGTCTCTAGTAAACTAAAGATATTCTTTAATAGCTATCTTGCTTCAATTTATTTGCTACAAATACAAACAAAAATTGTAGATGTAGTTACGATTAGAAATTAGAAATCTATTTGTCTATCTTCATCCATGGATTCTTTATTCATACTCATTTAGTTGGAAGTATTGATCCAATTTTAAAATTTTGTTTCGTAATTTTATAATCCAAGTTTTCATTTTTTAATTGACCTTTGGATAAAAATCCGAAAAATTTATATTTTTTCTTGAACGTGTCATTAAAAGGTAAAGGGTTGAATCCTTTTAATGAGATAAAGTTTTTGATCGGAATATGAATCAAACCGAAAGACCCCTTAACTATTAAGGGGGTTAATAGAACAAATCACACTTTTACCACTAAACTATACCCGCTACAGTTCAAATTATTATATGTAAATGAACCTTTTTGCGGGCAACGTCTCTTTATTACTTCTCCCCGTTTCAACCATACATTATGCTTCCCATAAGTGTTCACTCTTTCTTCCTTTCCAGGATATTATCGGGTTTTTCAACCAACGTGTCATTCTCTTCTCATCGACTTGCTATTTTGTCATTTGGTGGTATCACGTTATCTTCACCACCTAACATCTTACAATCACTTCCAATTTGATTCAAACATTTACGGGATGACTTTTAATGATATAATACCAATCAAATATATTTCAATAAAGAAATGCTCAAACAAATCATACATGTCCTAATATATTATATTTAAATTTAGTTATTGGTCCACTAAGGTGTTCAACCTTCTAATATATATTTTAGTGGTTTAAATACTTTATCATCATTATACTTTTACTTTTTCTAAATTACATATTTGCACAATTACATACATATTCTCATAGTATATATATATATATATATATATATATATATACTCATATATATATATATATATATATATATATATATATATATATATATATATGTGATAGAATAGTTGTGTTTTTGTTATTCTAAAATGGATGAAATTATGCTTTATGTACAGATCTGGGAAATTGTTGTGGTGAAATCATTCGATCCATTATAAAATTGCATGTGTATATCAAGCCAATAGTCCATACAAAAGTTATATATCTTTAATTTTTTTATTTTTTACTCATGTTGAATTTATAGAAAAAATCTAATGTTATAAATTAAATGGTAAATCATAAAGGAATTATTATAAAAAATATTGTTTGAGGGTAATATAGTCATTTAGCACAGTCAGTCAGATGCAGAATCAAACAACAAGTTTCAGTCAGAAGTTAACTCAGTCAGAACTTCAAACCCAGTCAGCTTCTAACCCAGTCAGCTCTAACCCAGTTAGCAAATATCAAACGACCCCTTATTGTTATTGAGTCAATGATTCCGATAGGACATGGTCAGCGTTCATTAATTATTGGGGACAGCCAGACCGGTAAAACAACAGTAGCAATAGATACAATTCTAAATCAATAAGACAACAATGTAATGTGTTTATGTAGATATTGGTCAAAAAGCATCTTCTGTGGCTCAGGTAGTGACTAATTTCCCATAAAGGGGCGCGATGGAATATACCATTGTGGAAGCCGAAACGACGGATTCCACTGCTACATTACAATACCTCGCTCCTTATACAGGAGCAGCTCTGGCTGAATATTTTATATATCGTGAACGACTGACTTCAATCATTTATGATGATCTCTTTAAACAAGCCCAAACTTATCCCAAAATGTCTATTCTATTACGAAGACCGCCTGGGCGCGAAGCTTATCCGGGGGATGTTTTTTATTTACATTCACGCCTTTTGGAAAGAGCTACTAAATTAAGTTCTCTTTTAGGTGAATGAAGTATTACCGCTTTACCAATAGTGTAAGCCCGGTCGGGAGATGTTTCGGCTTATATTTCTATTAATGTCATTTGGATTACCGATGAGCAAATATTCTTATCTGCTGATCTATTCAATGCTAGAATTTGACATGATATTAATGTGGGGAACTATGTTTCCAGAATGGGTCTGCAACTCAAATTAAAGCTATGAAACAAGTAGCCGGTAAATTAAAATTGGAACCGGCACAATTCGCAGAATTAGAAGCTTTTTCACAATTTGCTTCTAATCTTGATAAAGCTACTCATAATCAATTGACAAGAGGTTAACGCTTACGTGAATTGCTTAAACAATCTCAATCTACCCCTTTCGGGGTAGAAGAATAGGTACCGACTATTTATACCGAAACAAATGGTTATCTCGATTCATTAGAAATTGGACAGGTAAGGAAATTTCTTGTTGAGTTACGTACTTACTTAAAAACCAATAAATCGTAGTTTCAAGAAATAATATCTTCTACCAAGACATTCATCGAGGAAGGCGAAACCATTTTGAAAGAAGCTATTAAGGAACAAAGGGAACAGTTTATACTTCAGGAACAAGCAGCCTAAAAAAATTTATCACCCTTCTTAATAATTTTTTAAATAAAATAAAAAGGGTACTCAAGCGTTTCAGAGTCAAATCATTCAAAATTTATTTTTTGATATCTAAATCTAAAAAAATATTTGGAAAA